GACTCCTCCAGAAGCAGCTGGACTTCTCTGGATGTGCCCCGATCTGCCTGCATCTACCTCGACATACCTGGCTTGATCTCCTCAAATCGATTGAACAAGTCAAGGCCTACTATTCCAGTCAGACTTCTGCAGAATTTCCAAAAACCTGTGCAAAGCCGCTGTTCTTTGGGAATGTGTCACGTGGCGCCACTTGGCCAGAACCCGAAACAAGTCCCGTACGAAAAACAAGGAATCGCTGCCCTCCTGCACATGGGCACAATGGAGTGCGCAGACCGCAAGATGGCGGCAATCAAACTGGTCCAATCTGCTGGGACGTTCATGAGATTCTGACTTTCGTCAAACGTGCGTTTGGTTCGTCCAAGTCGTCCAGCGTCCCTATCTGAACCAAAAAAGCCGGTTTCGGATGAGCCGTCCTCACGATTAGCTCGTCATTGGGCCACGTCGTGCAGGTGACGCTAGCGGTGTGCTGCCCGCGCCGAGGAGAGAGCGCCCTTTGGGCGGACTGTCATCAATTGTGCGGAAGCTCAGCCGGAGCAGTACGGGGCCTCCCCCACGCCTCCGCCCAGGCGTTCTTTCGGTGGAATCCTCCTCCTCATCCTCCTGCTCCTTGTCCACCTCCTCCTCCTCCTCAACCACCACCTCCTCCTCCTCCTCCTCCTCCTCCTCCTCCTCTTCCTCTTCTCCTCCTCTCCTCCTTCTATTCCTCCACCTCCTCCTCCTCCTCCTCCTCCTCCTCCTCCTCATCTTCCGGACCCTCCTCCTCCTCCTCCTCCTCCTCCTCCTCCTCCTCCTCCTCCTCCTCCTCCTCCTCCTCCTCCTCCCCCTCCTCCGTCCCCACATCCGCCCAGCCCCTCGTCTTCCGGACCCTCCTCTGTCTCCCCCCCCGACCGCTCCGCGACAAGAGCGCCGCGGCAGGCCGGCATCGGAGCCGGCGCCGGAGGCCCCCGCCCGCTGGAGGAGGAGGAGGAGGAGGAGGGAGGAGGAGGAGGAGGAGGAGGAGGAGGAGGAGGAGGAGAAGGAGGAGGAGGAGGAGGAGGAGGAGGGAGGAGGAGGGCCCTCCTGGGGGCGGGGCGAGACGCAGCTGGGGTCCCGCGCGAACGCGGCGATCTGGGCCTCGAAGTCCTGCGGCTGCGGCGCGCGGCAGACGCCTGGGGGCTTGGGCGGGCGACGGGCGGACGGCGTGCCGCGGGTTGGGTGATGGGCCTGTTTTCCACCACCACCACCACCATAAGTTGGAGGGGGAGGGGGTCCTCTCCTCCTCCTCCTCCTCCTCCTTCTCCTTCTTTCCTCCTTCTTCCTCCTCCTTCCTCCTCCTTTCCTCCTCCCTCTCTCCTCCTCCTCGTCCTCCTCCTCCTCCTCCTCTCCTCCTCCTCCTCCTCTCCTTCTCCTCCTCCTCCTCCTCCTCCTCCTCGTCCTCCTCCTCCTTCCCCCCTCCAACTTGTGGTGGTGGTGGTGGTGGTGGAAAGCAGGCCCATCAGGTGGGGCGAGGGAGTGCTCGGGGGAGAAGGGCTTCTCGGAGGGCGGCAGCCAGGCGGACCCAGCGAGCGGGTCGGCGCGAGCCTCGAAGCGGCAGGCGGCGGCTGAAAAGCTGCTGCGCCATCGGATCGGCAGACATCGACCGGGGCCGCACCGGATCGAGTCGGGCAGCGTCGTCGCGCCACGCCGGACCGGAAGCGAAACGGGGAGGCGGCAGGGGGGCAAGAGGACGAGCGGGGAGGCGGCGCTTGGCCTTGGTCTCCGAAGCCCGGCCGCCTTGGCGGCGGGGCCTCGCACGCGGCGTCCCAAACATGCGACGTCCTGAGATTTGCTGATACAGGGCAGCTTTTAATACATAGGATCTTTAAGCATATAGGTTTCTATACATGAGTAATTTATGAATGAATGTATGCATGAGTTCATCGTTGTTTTTGATACTGCATCCCTGCATTTTTAATGCATGATCCGCACGCGGAGCATGTATTAAAAACGGCACTGTACGCAGACCCCAGAAGTCCCGACCTTTTCTCCGGGTCTGGCTTTTCATCCTGAACCATTTCGGGGACCTTCTGACCTGGGTCAATCCAGACCCGGGTCAGTCAGGCCTTGCAGGATCCTGCAAGAGCCTGCACCCAAGCCCGGGTCAATGCGAAGGATCCTGCAGGATCCAGCACCCAAGCCTGAGTCAATGCGACCCTGGCCCTGCAGGATCCTGCAAGATCGGGCGCCTTGGCTGACCCCCGTTTGCAGTGAACCCCGTCTCAAGGCTCCCGATCATTGTTTGAGGGTCCTGGGGCCCGGTGAGTGTCCCAAGGCCGAACATGGCGAAAAGCCCTCCGTCCTGACTGCTCGACAGCGTCGCAACAGGCCACGGGCCTTCTGCGATGGGCCTATTACCAACCACCACAACCACAGGTAGGAGTGGGAGGAGGAGGAGGAGGAGGAGGAGGAGGAGGAGGAGGAGGAGGAGGAGGAGGAGTAGAAGGAGGACCTCCTCATCCTCCCGTCTCCCCCGTGCTACACATGGTAGCGGTTGTGGAGAATTTGCCCGTCATTCTGAGCCTCCCGAGGCGGCCCGCTCCCTGGGCCTTCCCCCCCTGCGGCGCGTCGGGCCGAGTCGGGCGGTCGGCGAGGCGTTGGGAGGCGGGCGGAGAGGGAGCGCTTTGCGGGAGCGCCGCGCGTGTCCGTCCGGGCGCGGGCCTGCACAGATACACGAACGTTCACCTCCACGGGGGGGGGTCCTACGGGGGAGTCCTCTTCCTCCTCCTCCTCCTCCTCCTCTCCTCCTCCTCCTCCTCCTCCTCCTCCTTAAGTCCGCCTCCTCCTCCTCCTCCTCCTCCTCCTCCTCCTCCTCCTCCTCCTCCTCCTCCTCCTCCTCCCCCTCCTGGTCGTCGTCGCTGTCTTTCAGGGTCGGCGGCACCGGCCGTCAGGCCTTCACAATACATGACGATGTTTGAAACGAAATGGCGCTCACTTCGAACAGCGGAGCAAAGCACGAGCGCTGGAAACGAAGCCCGTGCGAAGCGAAACGAACAACGAACGAAGCGTGCAAAACGAAGCTGGTGTCCGTCCGAGCGCGTGCCGAAACACACTTTTTGGCAATCGCGGCCTCGCGCACACGGAGACACGGCGGATCTGGTGCACGCGCGGCCGGGACTCTCAGGGGAATCTCCGCAGCTTCCGAGGTGCGCCAGCAGCAGCAAAGCATCCGGGCGTGGATGGCGAGCAACGGACACTCTGCCCTGGCGCTTGACTTCCAGCGAGGAGGCAGCGCGAGAGCGTGGGGTGAGCAGAACCATCCGAAACACGTACATACATGTTTGCTCGGTACGATGTTGAACCCCATCTCGAGATCAATGCTCCGAGGCCCTTCGACGAGAAACCGTCCAAACGCGATTCCACCTCGTCCTGCTCTCTATGAGAACCTCCATCGACACCTGCCCCTTCTCGAGGTCGGCGCTGCGCTCAGAAGTGAACCCGGGGCCCCTACCGGCCCCCCGGAGCTGGCGCTCTCCGAGGTCGGCGCGTTAACTACTCCAAAGCGTCAACGAACAGCATTCCCCAATAACGATTTCGATCGGTCGGAAAATTTCGTCCAGCGCCCAGTCATGCCCTCGTGGTCTGGATACCAGGGCGCAATCCTGTGGATACGCGATCCCGTGAGCGCGTTACGCGGGCGGCATTGCTCTGTGCACATGGGGTCGCGGCCGAGAGGTCCGGACCGAGAGGCCGTCGATATGGTTACATGACCCGCCCACGAGTACGGAGCAGGGAAGCCCCCACCAGACCAAAGAGGAGATAGGGCGATCTAGGCATGGCCCGTTGTTTCTTTTCTCTGGGGGGACATCCCTGGCCAGACCTGAGGACTCCCGCCTTCTTTGTCTGGCCCGCGTTTCCTGCCCCCCTGAAGGCTGAGCTGGAAGGGCGAGGGAGGCCAGGCTGCGACGGAGCATTCGCCGAGGAGCGAGGGCGGAGGAGCTCGGGGGGGGATGGGAGCATGTGTGAGAATGTCGATAACCACACACACACACACGCGGCTTCAATCATGAACCAGTCAGGGCACAAAGGGGTGACCACGTCGCCGGCGACTCGCAGCCTAAGCGTGACGGCTGGTGCGGGGAGGGGGATGGGGCGGGGGGAGGGAGGGAGGGAGGGAGGGAGGAGTGAGGGAGGGAGGGGGAAGGGAGGAGTGAGCAGGGAGGAGTGGAGGAGGGAGGGAGGAGGAAGGAGGAAACCGAGGGAGGGAGGAGTGAGGACGGAGGGCGGAAGGAGGTACGGCCCAGAAGGCGTACAGGGGAGTCGAGCCGACGTTCGCAGAAAAGCGAGCCAGTTTGGGGGTCGCTGCCCATACAGTGGAGGCTGATCCACAAGAATCCTTCCACAAGAAACCCAACCCTGAGACCCCAGGCCGTCCATTGTTTGTTGGTGTGAGGACGCCACGCTTTCCAAAGCAGAACCATCGAATCCCAAGGAACCCGGGGCACCCTGGAGGCAGGCAGGGTGTTTCTTGGCATGGGTCTCCACTGTCTAATCTAAGAAAGGACGGAGAACAGCCCCCCTCCCCCCCCCCGGAGAGGGGTTTAAAACCGACCCCTCGAGTGAGGCCAAAACAACCCAGACACGTGACCCCCCGAGGGGGGTCCAAACAGGCCTACGGAGGGGGGTCAAAGCAGCCAAGCACGGTAAACACATGCAAACACAACCAACACAGCCTCATAGAACGCAGCAAAAAGAACAAACACCCACAACAGCGGGGGGGCCCAAGATGGCCCAAGATGGCCCAAGATGGCCTTAAGACGGCCCAGTTTCAATGTGCGTACGTGCCTCGCTGAACTGACGCAGGGCGTGAAGTCGACCACCTTCATATCGCGCGTTTGCAACCCAACCCCAGTCCCCCTCTGTACCCATGGACGAAGACGAGGTCGGGTTCACAACGCGCCTAAGTTCAGACCGCTCGCTAAACTGCCGTGGGACGTGGTCTCGGTCTCCTTCCTACCCTACCGCGCGGACGGAAAAAAACGTCGTGTTCACGCCCCCCAAAGTTCAGACAGCCCGACGAACTGCTGCAGGGCATGAACTCGGAATCCCTACCACCGCACTGACAAAGACGAGGTCGAGTTTGCGACCCGCCTCAGCTCAGACCGCTCGGCAGAATTGCGCTGCACCCATTTCACACTCCTTCCTGCTAAGCTGTTGCGCAGGCACGGTGGCGGGGTTTGCCGCAGGCAGCTGGATTGAGCGCCTGTTGAGATCGAACCATGAAGATGCACGAGTGGAAACCAAAACGCCGCCCCCCCCCTCCTGCACGCCCCCGGCTGACTCCTCCTGCCCGAGCGCGAGGGGGAAGACAGTGGGCGGGACTGGCTCGACCTGGACTCGGCGACGGGGCCCCGACGGCGAGGGCCCCGACCTTCCCTGGGCGAGGGCGGGCTGTCGGGCCCCTGTCGGCGATGAATGGGCGCTTTGGGGGGCCGACGCGGCCCCCCCCCCCTTTCCCCCCGGAGCCTGTCCCCCCCAGACGCTGCCCCGGGCAGCCGCGCTGGCTGGACTGTCACGAGCGGCGGGCACGTCCACACCCGCGCCCTCGCGGTCGCGGGCACGCTCCGCGCGGGGCACCCGCGGAAGGTCGCGCCGCACTCGTGGGGCCGCGGCCCGAGGACCCGGCCCGCGATGCCGCCGATGTGGGCTTGCTTGCCGCCCACGATGGGCGCCACACCCTGTAGTTCTACCAGAGGCCTCCTAGATGGGGTCCGAGTAGATGGTACCGCGCCGCATCGCCAATGCATCGCGGATGTGTCGTCGATGCATCGGCGATGCATCGGCAACGTCGGCGATGCACCGGCGACGTCGGCGTTGGGAAACACGGGCTCCACATCGAGCCGCATCGTCGATGCATCGGCGATGCGGCGCGATCCTTCGACTCCATCTACTCCCTACTCGGACCCCATCTGGGAGGCCTAGATCTGCACGAGCACGCAACGGCGTAGACGTCATTCATCCCAGGTGCTCGCGGAGTTCTCGAATCGGCGCTGGGCCCCCCTCCCCTGGCGTGCGGAACGTCCACGGTGGCGCCGGGGGGGGGCGCCCGCCAGGGGGGCGCAGCGCCGGTCCAAGAGATCCGCGCGGGGCTTCGAAGAATTAGGTTCATGCAGCTGTTTGTTCTTCGATGCTCGAGGTGGCACTACAGGGAGGTCTTCGCCGGAAGGACCAGGGAGAATTAAGCCCCATTAGGGGGGGACTACGCCGGATTAGACCGCAGATAAAGCGGGATTAAGCCGTACTACGCGGATTAAGCCGGATTAAGATGGATTTCGGACCAGGGCAGAATCAGAATTTGACCTCCGAGGAGTTGCATTCGAACAAGGGGGTGGCGAGAGGGGGGCCTTCCAAGAAGGCAGGAGCTTTGCCAGAAGCGCCCATAGTCTTCCAGGAAGGCTTGGGAGACTCCGGGCGGTTCTACGAAGTCGCCTGCCTTCAAAGAAGCCCCGTCGGCCTTCTCAAAGCCCCATCCCCCCCTCGCGCCACCCCCTTTTTCGCGCCGCCGACACGGGACCGGCTCATCATCGTCGTCGTCGCCGTCGTTGTCGTCGTCGTCGTCGTCGTTGTCGCCTCGTCGTTGTCGTCGTCGTCGTCGTCGTCGTCGTCGTCGTCGTCTTCGTCGTCGTCGTCGTCGACGACGTCGTCGTCTCTTCGATGTTCGCGCCGCCGACACGCGAGGCCGACTCCTCCGGTGAGGGGCAACGATAGGGGAAGATGGGCACAGGGGGGGGGATGCATCGACCTGGAATCGGCGATACATCGTCGATAGATCGGCGATAGGACCCCGATAGCGAATCCGCACCTCCCTGGGCGGGGTGGGGCTATCGGGCCCCTATCGGCGATCAATGGGCGATTGGGGGCCGATGCATCCCTCCCTATGCCTATCCCCGGATGGTTTTCGGACCATGACTCGGGCCTCCGGCGGCCGTTTGGAACGATTCCAGCTCCCCCGGAACGCCCTCGACGAGGCGCAGCTGCTGGAACGCATCCCCAGGCTGGAAAGCCGCCGCGGACCGACGAAGACGACCGAAAACCTAGCACCTGGAATCGAACACGACCGAGAACCTATCCCCCCCTTATACCTATGCCCCCCTCGCGTCCCAGACCCCCGACGTAATGATTTTTTCATTACGTCGACCCCCAGAGGTCCCGACCCTTTCCCCATGACCGGCTTTTCATCCTGAGTCGTTTTGCGACGCTCCCGAGGCCCGGTGAGGGGCCCCAGAGGCCGAAAATTAGGAGAAACCTCCCGTCATGATTTCTTCGTTACTCGAGGGAACCTAGCACCTGGAATCGAAAACGACCGAGAACATGTCCCCCTCCCCCCCCTCCGCCTCCTCCTCCTCCGCCTCCTCCGCCTGCGCCTCCACCTCCGCCTCCTCTTCCTCCTCCTCCTCCTCCTCCTCCTCCTCCTCCTCCTCCTCCTCCTCCTCCTCTCCCCCCCTATGCCTACTCCCCCCCTGCCGTTGCCCCTGACCTGACCCTGATGCGCCCGCCGCCGGGGCCGGCTCCCCGGCCTGCCCTGCCGCGCGCGGGCGTCGGCGCGGCCGCATCCTCGGGCGGCGCCGGCCTCCGGCGGGGCGGCGGCTCGGGCGCCACGGGCCGCTGGGGCGTCCGGGGGCCCTCACGGTGGCCCCCTTAAAGAGGGCCTCCAAGAGGCCCCCACAAGAGGGCCTCCAGGAAGGCCAGCAGAGGTCAACAACACTGCTTTTCCAAAGGCTATTGACGGATTTTGACGCTTGCTTCTTTGCGGCCTTCCGACGGCCCGAGACGGCCCACGAGCCCCCAAAGAGCGCCGAAAGATCGCCCAAGAGGCCTCCAAGACGGCCCTGGCGCATTCCAAGAGGGCCCCAAGTCGGCCCATAGAGGCCCCCCAAACGGCTTCCGACGGCGTCAGACGGGCCAGGAGCCCACCAAGACGGACGAAGATGGCCCTAAGATGGCCCAAGAGGCCTCCAAGAGGGCCTCCAGGAAGGCCCGAAAAGGCACAAATCATTGATTTCCCATGAGTTGTCGAAGGATTGTGGCAATTGCTTGTTTTCAGCCTTCCGACGGCCCGAGACGGCCCAAGTGCCCCCAAAGATCGCCCAAGTCGGCCCCAAGAGGCCCCCAAGACGGCCCAAGAGGCCTCCAAAACGCTCAAGATGGCACAAGGAGACGCGAAAGGACATGCCAGTAGCGTGTTGCTCCCATCGTACTCAAGGACCACATCCCAGAACTAATCTCGAGCACCCAGAAAAGTGTCGAAAGAGTGTCGAAAGAGTGTCGAAAGAGTGTCGAAACGGTGTCGGACGAGTGTCTCCCAGGGCCCGACACGTGAAGACCCTCGAGTTTGGGGGTGCTTTTCTGGTGCAGTTTGGGGGTGCTTTTCTGGTGCTCGAGATTCTTTCTGGCGATCAAGGCTAACGCAGGTTGGAACACCATACTACCAGTAGTGTGCGTCCTCTTTGGCGGGCGTGCGGCCGACCAGACGTTGAGAAGTGCAACCATACATCTATATACATATATGTATATATATTATATATATAGATATATATATATATATATAATATATGAAGGGGCCCCAGAACACAAAAAGAAATACACACAAATAAAAAAACACATATTTTCCCATATTTTCTGGGTTTCTGTCTTCCCCCCCATTTCCCATATTTTCCCATATTTTCTGGGAAATCGACGATGAATTGTGTCTGTGTGTTTCTTTTCCTCCTGAATATATATATATATATATATATATTGAAGCAGATCCTTGCCCCAGCGGTGTGGCCACGGAGAGCGTCCGCTACCGAGCGTACGCTGGCCGTGAGAGCTCTCCGAGCGCGCCTCGCCCCTTTTTGGGGGGGCGACGCGCACACGCACACTTAGAAGTATGTTCGGGCGAAGCCGGGTCCTATTCCTCCTCCTCCTCCTCTTCCTCCTCCTCCTCCTCCCCTCCTGCCTCCTCCTCCTCCTCCTCCCTCCTCCTCCCCCTCCTCCTCCTCCTGTTCCCCTCCCCCTCCCCGCCCCCTCCCCCTCCCCCTCCACCTCCTCCTCCCCTCCCCCTCCCCCGTCGGGAGAAGCGACTCTCGCGGGCGCTGCAAGAAGTAAGAGAGCAGCTCCTGGGAGCTCGTCGTAAGAAGGATTCCGGAAGGGCTGCTAGGCCCGATTGGGAGGCCACGGAGTCGAAAAGTGAGCCCGGGATTGGGCTGGACCACGCGGGATCAGGCCCAACAAAAGAATGGATTTTGACGGATTGGGCCGTTGTTCGATTACGAATGTTTGTTTCCGTTCGCCATAAGATTATGACGGATTGGGTCGGTGTTCGATTACGAATGTTTGTTTCCGTGCGCCAGCATCTCCACACCCAACAGGCCCAAAAACAGTTTTCAGACGCCCCCCAAAGGGGTCCCCAAGGGACCCCCCTAGGCCTTACCAAGTGGACATCGTCCCTCTCCTGCTGGACCTTTTGTGCGTGCGTCTTCCTCCTCCCCCCTCGCTCAGATCCCCATGCCGTCCTCATTCGTGGTCTCCTGATCTCACACTCCTCACCCTGCGCCCCACTCCTCCTGACCAGACCCTGCAGAGTGACCCGCACACGCCACAAGAGGCCCAAGTGCCAGTCTGCCAGCACTGCTGAAGCCCGAAGCCCATGCCATGATGAAAGACATTCGGGCCCCTACTGCGCCCACACAACTTCCAAGGGCTCCTCGCTTCGTCTGGGGGTCGGCAGGATGGCGCAAGTCTATCTGCGAAATCGACAGCACCGGTCGAACGACGAAGAAGACTGCCGCGGGGAACTCTTGGACGACAGCAGGGAAGCAGGCAGCAGGACAAGCTCACTGGGGGAACGAGAGGCATGCGTGCGAGCGTGGCCAACATCGCACGGAGGAACCCTGCAAGCTGCACTCATGACGCAGGCCATCCCAAGCAGCACACGCGCCCGCTCAGGGGGGGGGGGGGGGCGAGAGGTGCGCCGGGGCCTCGTGCCCTTGCGGGGCACCTCGGCCTGAAGGGAGGCCTCTTTCGCCGCGCATCGGCGCGGCTGCAGCGCCCGGCGGCACGTCGCCGCCGACAGCACCGTCTCCATCATCCGGCACGGTATGCACAACCTCAAAAGCTGGGCGACACCGGGTGGCCAACCAACACGCGAGGGTCGTACCATGAGCCCGGGAGTGCCCGGGTGCGTGAGGGGAGCGAGGGTGTCTTGGTCGCCCCGCGCGAAGGCAGAGCGCCCGGCAGCGACGAGGCGGCGGCAGGACGGCGAGGGCAACAGCATTAGCCGCCAGGCCGACCCCCGCCCCGGTTCCTCAGAACACAGATGTGAAGCCCTACGTGCAAGCACTGTTCTGGGAACAAGTTTCCCCCGCTGCGGCGCTGACATCGTTTCGGCGTGCGTGATTTGCTCCGTTTGTTCAGGATGGCGTGGGCCACACTCCAGGATCCGAATCCCTCCTCGTCGGTGTCGCCCCCGTTCTTTCCCCCCTCCGAGTGCCCCTGGCCCTCCTGCCCTTCCGCTCCTCATGCTCCTGCGCATGCTGCTGCCACTGCTCCTTCTCCTCCTCCTCGTCCTCCTCCTCCCCCTCCTTCTCCACCTCCTCCTCCTTCTCTACCTCCTCCTCCTCCTCCTCCTCCTCCTTATCCCTATGCTCATCCGCCACCTTCTCTGTCTCGTCCATTCCTTCTCCTCATAAAAACACACTTCCCTGCGGCACCCCGAGGCCAGCCGAAAAGGCGGGCCGGGCGTGTCGCCTGAGACTCCGTCACCAATTGTGATCCTGAAGCTAAGGACTTGCAACCCTTCACGGACGGATGGCGTGCCGACGTCAACATTTTCTCGCCTCAATACCACGCACATTCGTGTAAAAGTTTGCAGGGGCCCCACGGACAGAAGGTGGATGGTTTTCAAATTGTGGATCTCGCATTAACGCCGCGCACATTCGTCTTTAAAGCTTGCACGGGTTTCACAAATGGGTGGGGGCACATTTTCAAAATGTGGCTCAGCACCGTGCACATTCGTCTTTGAAGTCTGCAAGAGCTTCACGGATTGAGGGTGCTTCCTTTTCGATATGTGGCTCTCGCCTTAGTTAGTGCCACGCGCATTCGCCTTACGAGTTTGCCACATATTCAAACATTACCGTGGTTAACGTCACAGTAACTATGTTTTTGGCACGATGTCGGAATGTCAGGGCGTAGCAATCACGTTGGTTCGCAGTGTTGCAGTCGCAGGAATAATGCTCTGGCGCGACATAGGATCGCTAATACGCAAGAGTAACAATGATTCGCTGAGTTGGAGTCCCAGGAATGGTGTTCTTTCAACGTTCTGGATTTTCAAACGGCTGTCTTCCAACATGGCACTTCCCTCAGTGAATCTGAACGTAGGGGCCTATGACGCGTGAACTTGGAGGGAGGGTGGATTGCAAGTTCGTTGATGAGCCTTGGGCTTGCACTGGTCCTCCTCCTCCTCTTCTTCGTCCTCCTCCTACTCCTCCTCTCCCACTCCTCCAATGCGCACAATTCCCATGCCTGTTTGCACATCACACAATGGGGTCACTGTGGGAACCAGGACCGCTACGACACCCGTCGGCGGATAGGAGAGACAGTCAGCGCAGCGGGAAGCGCTGTGCGGGAGGGGCGAGGCCTCCGATGTGACGCGCGGTCGCCCCCAGCTTGCGGGTATCCTCTGTCCTCCCTTCTCCCTCCTATTATGCGTTGGTGCCTTCACGCTAATCTGGATTCGAGGCGGGTGCGTGTCGCATGCAGTAGCTAACACAAGATGCAGCCAATCATCCCAGTATGTATCATGGGAAAGCCGCTATCGTGTTGCCGTCTTGCCGCCACACATCCCAGCCTGGTGGACTTAGCTGAGATCGGCTCCAGCCCTGGCGCGCGGGCATAATTCGCATGCACAGGAGGTGCGATGCGCAGGAGACGCCACACTCTCTCTTGCTCACTCTCTCTCTCTCTCTCGTTCCTCTTTGTGGTGTCCTTCCTCTTGCCTCCTGTCCCCGCATGAGTTCCAGACACACTCAGATTGCCTGATTTGCTCGAGCCCCCTCGAAATACCAAACATTCGCCCAGGCTCGTGGCTCTCCTCGAGCTTGGCTGGAGCTGCTTGTGGCGTCAATGAGTGGAGCCTAGCACTCCGAGGCACCTAAGACTGAAAGCCCATGATCCTCTATGGGCCAGCCATAGTGCAAAGACTTCGGCCCGAAGGTGCGAAATGCGAGAACCAGAGCTCGTGAGTGGTGCACCCACCCACCCCTTCTTCTCTCAGGTTCCCTTCGTCCTCCCTTCCTTCCCCACCTCACCTGCGAGTGTCATGCCACCACCTGCAGGTGCACTCGTGACAGCCAGCCCATAATTTGCTCACGGCCGCCGAGCTTCTCTCCTGCAAGGTCTAGCAAGGCATTGCAAGTGCGTCAATCAAGCCCATCCGCAAATCATAGGCATGGCTGCGCGGACCCAGTCCGCTTGGTAGGCTGTCAGGAGCGCGAAACCGTTGGTAAGTGCCCGAGTCCGTTCCATCTTCTTCCCCTCTAGTGTGTTCTCCCTTCCCCTGTCCCAATTCAATGAAGCTGGGAGGGGCCCCCCTTGTTGAAGCTAGGGGCGGCGGCCATAGGCCAAGCACAGCCACTTTGGCTCTACGTTCCTGCTCATCCTCCTCGACTGCCCAACTAGTATGACAAGCGCTCCCTGCCAAATCATCATTTCTGTGGCAAGATACTTCTACAGGCCCACCTGCTGCTCACTCTGCAGTGGGGTTTTGACCAGAATTTCGAAGCGAATCCAGCGGTGGCGACGAGGGCCTCCCAGGAGGCCCAAAAAGAAGGAAACGGCCGAAGGGTATAGAGGTATGGGTACCCTTTCCTCCTATGAGAGAATGGCTCCCCTCCTCTCCCCCGTCCTCCCCTCCCCCCTTCTCGCTCCTCTGGCCTCGAGAGGAGGAGCGAAAAAAGACGGCGTCCTCTGCCCTGCCGCGCGGGGCGGGCGGCGTCAGCGAGCGCCCGGACGGCCCGGAGCGGCAGGAGAGCGCGGGGCTGCTGGCGCGCGAGGAGCGCCCCGTGCGGTAGGAGTCCTGCGAGGCCGCGGGGAGGCCGCAGGATCAGTCGGCACCGGGAGGATGATGATGATGATGATGATGATGATGATGATGATGATGAGGAGGAGGAGGAGGAGGAGGAGGAGGAGGAGGAGGAGGAGGAGGAGAAGGAGGAGGAGGAGGAGGAGGAGGAGAAGGGGAGGAGGGGTAGGATGAGGTGATGATGATGAGGAGGAGGAGGAGGAGGAGGAGGAAAAGGAGGAGGAGGAGGAGGAGGAGGGGGAGGAGGAGGAGGAAGAGGAGGAGGAGGAGGAGGAAGAGGAGGAGGAGGAGGAGGAGGAGGAGGAGGAGGGGGAGGAGGGGTAGGAGAAGGAGGAGGGGCAGGAGGAGGAGGAGGAGGAGGAGAAGGAGGGGGACGAGGAGGAAGAGGAGGGGGACGAGGAGGAGGCGGAGGCGGAGGTGGAGAAGGAGGAGGAGGGACGTTCTTGGGCTCTTTCTGGGCCTCCAGAACTCTTTAGAGGCCCTGGGCATGCCCCTCGGGACCTCTTGGGGGTCACGATCCGGAGGCGGAAGCACACTTGGACAACCGCAGCTGCGACGAGAGCTTCGTTCACGAGAGCGTGTCCGAAGCCTGGGACAAACTCTAGGAACAATATCAAACTGCAGCTGAGCCAACTCTCGAACGCTTTAGCGAGAGGGATGAGCACGTCCTTCACTCACTATTCCGAAGGCCGGCAAACCAAACCAAATTCTGGCAAAGTTCTCGGACTACCGCAAAGCCTGCTCTCGAGTTCCTTAGCAGTGAAGATCACCAACTTCTCGTCCCCCCGCATCTTCGTACTGCTCCTCTTCTTCCCCTGCTATCTTATATTGAGTTGTTTGTCTCTCTGTGTCTCTCTGCTGGCCCTGGAGGCAGTTGGATCGGAGAAATTGTGTCTGACAAACACATGCGGCGAGAGAACGGGTCAGCAGCCCGCGCAGTCAGCCGACACACGCGCTGCCAAACAGACACAAGAAATCCCCGTCTGGGAGAACCGCACTCGCACAGACCGTTGCTGGGATCACAAAGCTACCTGTCCGCCACACTGGGGTAGCCTTGCCACGCCCTTCTGGAAGCTGCTACGTCGAACAAGTCTTGGTCAACCGACTGAGGGGTAGTTCGAGCATGACAAGTGCTGGCCATCACGTCAGCCCACCGTACATGTCAGACTTACGCGGGTAACGCACAACTTCTATGGGGTAGCTGCACCTGGACAAGTGCTGCCTAGTGTGGCCAACCAGTCGTTGATCTGAGACTTACGTAGGTAACCACCTATACGGGTAGCTAAAGCAAAACAAGTGCTGCCCGTTGCAGTTAACGCGCCATGTGACATGTGCGAGTTAACCAAACTACATTGATTCGCCGCGTCTCCCCGGACAAAAGAAAACCTCATAGCGCGGCGTTGCCCGTGACAACACACTTACCCGATCGCTTGATTATTGCCTGTGCGTCTCCTGCAGTACCGTCACGGTCGGCAATCATCATCAGTCCTCCCTGATCCGTTATCGCCTTTCCTTCTTCCTTCAGCCTCCTCACCCACTCCAACCTACTCCTTACTCTTTCCTCTCCCCCTCCCCGCCCTCCCCCTGAAAAGAACATCCCCCCGAATTCACAGCCCTGCCCTTCCCACGCGGTCCTCCGAGGGCGCTCTGGCAACGGGGCCGTGCCACTCGTCGACGAGACAGCGCTGCAGCACGCGGTTGCGCAGATCCTTCCCACCCCAATTGGTGGCTCATCCCTCCCTCCTCTCCTCATCCCCGTGCTGCCCCCCGCCCTCCCGCCCCCTCCTATCCTCCTGCTGCCCCAACTATCATTATGCTGCTCCTCCTCTCCGCATTCTCTTCGTCACGAGGATCCTGACCCTCACCACCCGCATACGTAATTTTCATCATCCTCCACCGCATTCCCACAACCATTTGATCGACAT